TGCACATTATTACCGATCAGCTGTCTGAGAAACCTTCATTGCGTGTGCCAATGTCACCATGTTTTTAGTTCCGCACGATGTGATCACAGCGCCAACTACTGATCGCCAATTAAAGTGTTTTGTAACAACTTGAAGATCACAGCCATTGACAATAATCTAGGGAACAAATTAGACACACCGTGGCAGAGCGTGAATCTTTCATTCTTCGCTAGTAATTCTTCGGCAGTAAATTGTAATTACGATGATTTAGCGGATTATAATAATTAGCTGTCTGCAAAGCATCACTTTTGAAAGGTAGTTGGTGGTAAGAGCATGTATTTAAAATCCTTGTATGTAATTAATAGTTAGAAGACGGCATCGAGGCTGAAGAAATGTGACAAAGACACTTTCAGAAGAAAGACCACAGGACAACGTTAGATTGAGTCTCAGTAATAATGCCACTATAGAGTATGACGACCTCTCAATAGTATTCAGTGCCATCATAGCGCTTTATTCGCTGTCACTCACAGAATGGCAGTCACATGTTATAGGTAATTCTAAAATATTTATGAAATCCAATTTAAAAAAAACACACACATTAAAAATGCTAACAGGATCACTAGAATAATAACTGCAAAGTTATTTTCCTTGTAGCTTCCCGTCAAAAAAGAAAACCTACTACCTGTATCAAAATACCAGATTGCAGAAGCCAATTCCCCTTGTAAAATGTTGTCATTTCCACCCTTGGTCGTGGTAACGCCTCGCCACCCGCAGCCCAAACACCATTTTGCTTATGAAAACAAGATTTCTATTATTTTATTCAAATGATGGATTTTATTATTTGGGGTTCTTATTACAAACAAAAAATAACATGGACGAAATATATATAAATGTTTACACATACTGTACACTAAGTAGAAGGCGTGCTTAGGTGACACAAGTACATTGATGTTCTCGGACAGTCCTGCGAAATTCGTTGTTTCTTTGAAAGTATATATTGCATGTTGTCTTGCTGATGGAAACACAACTAAGCATTCAGTTCATGTTCAGTACAAACCCCAAATATGTGCCACATGTGTGCTGCAACAGAGGACCAAACACTGGCTCTTCACTGTTCACTGAAACCCAGCCAGGGGATTCGGACGGAAAATGATTAACATTATTTGAAACAACAGGAACTTGTTTATTTTCACCCAAACTAACCTGCTTCAACCCTGGCACAACGCTAAACTAAAGTTGGCTAGTACAATGTATGTAGACTATGGGCATGGCTGAAATTGTTTTGTATTGCAACAGATTTTAGATAAGAAAACAATTTAGGATCGGATTTATGGGGAACCAGCTTGTTGTGTTTCTACTAAAGAAGGGAGATCTTGTTCTGCAAATAGTTCACCTTTCCTTTCATATTTCCTATTTTATAGTCACATATTTTTAACAGCCCTTATATAATAATAATTCTTATTATTGTTATCATCATTAGTAGTAGCAATAGTTGTATGGTTAGTAGTATTAGTGGTAGCAGTCGTAGTGGTATTATTATTAGTAGTAGTAGTAGTTGTAGTAGTGGTATTATTATTAGTAGTAGTAGTTGTAATAGTTGTATTATTATTATTATCATTCGTATTACTATCATTATTTAGCAAATCAAATATCATGATTTTCATATATATATATATTATATTA